AGAAGAAAATTTTTCGGTCGCTACCCGGATTCGAACCCGGGACCTTAGAATGAGAGGCCAACACCTTAACCTCTAGGCCACGAGAGCCCCCTTTTAGAACTCTGTTTCACAATGCATTAATCATAACAACACTTACTTTACCCATTTTATTGTCATATAAATTAGGACCTGGGATTTTCAACGCCTTAATAACAAATAGCCACAACAACACTTGTTCTCACATAAAACACATCCGATGCTCAACCCACACCTACTTACTTTATCCATGTTATTGTCAGATAAAGGACCTCCGATGCTCAACCCCAAAAGCTAACCATTAAAAAAAAATTCTTTCTCCTTAGTATTGTCATATAAAGGACCTGGGATGTTAACCCTCTCATACCAAATAGCCATAACAACACTTACTCGAAGTTTTGATAGTAAAAGTTCAAGGAACAATCAGGTCAATATGCTGTTTTAAAAGATCACAATACTGACCACACACATGTTTTCTCATAATCAGCGGCCAGATTAACACTATTAAAATTTGTAACAAATAGACTGAAAATCTTAATCATTTTCAATTTTTAGCACCAGGAATATAACTGTTCACGTTAAATGCAACAAAAATAAGATGCAGTATCTGATTAAAAAGATTTCAGCGAAACCAGGTTACATGTATATTATGTCATTATTATGAGCAACAAACATATTCACATAATATTCATGAAGAGAAAAATTGTTTTCAATTATTTTTCTCAATACATCTATTAAAATGAGATGAGGATATGTACAACATAATGTTCTTCTAAACTAAACTCTAGATTCGGTAGTAGCTTTATTGAGGGATATAGAAAACAAAATCATAGCTGTACTGGAGTGGGTTTTTTAAATCTCTGGATCAATGGGGCTTTTCCCGTTTTCATCTAAGTGAATTACGTCAATCCCCGGCGACACAATAAATTTAGATTGTTCAGGAAGCGATTTGTCTACACCTCAATTATCTCTTAACCGATTCAAGGTAAGAAATATAATAAGTATCGAGTGTTCATTAAGTGTTATAGATCTAGATGACAAAAAATTGACACATCGGTTGAGATTCGCAACCTCTGACAGTGATCTACAGCTCGGAGGGAAACACACAAACATTGGTGGAGACTCTATATAATTTCAAAATCTATAATAAATCCAATGTTTCGCCACTAGGAGACTTCAACGGGAACACTTAAAAAACATTACAGGTGTGTGTTGTACTCTTTCTGTTGCTCCCCGTTGACTTCGTAAGTGGCCTTAACGCCGTCTTCGCTCATATCCAGACCAAGATTCTCCACGCCTCCATTACGCAGGCGCGCTTGTTTAGCTAGACGCTCTTCCTTCCGGTCTCGTTTCTTCTGCTTCTGCTCCGGTGTGAGGAACCGGAAGCGGTCGATGAAGCAGACGGCCAAGACGAGGAAACAGACGGCACCTCCGGAGATGAAAGCTGTGATGACTGGGGTACGATACTGGGGATT